AAGAAAAAGAAGTGTATGGTAAATGAGCTGGATACCAGGCACTGTGCTAGGTGCCAGGGAGGCAGGGATGAAAAAGATGGCAGAGCCAGCTTTCATTTTCTTCAGTCTACTTCTTTGCTACCCTAGTAGCAAAGGGCACACATTCCTCATTCTCCTTCAGAAAAGTGTTTAAAAACTGGTGCTCAGGATTTCCTCCAATGGGGTCAGACTTACTATGTTTCTTATTTCTTCCCTAGATTCTCTTCTTCTATGATTTAGAAGCTGTTGGGCACCTTTAAACATTTCATCTTGAGTATAACTCGAACACCAGGCCTACAGAAAACCACACACCTGCAGTCCCAACAGCCAGGACACTCTTTGTCCTTTCTCATTTGCAAAGCCCAATTTACTCTCTTGAAGGAGGCCCAGGATCTTTAAGCAGTTTGGCAGTTTGGAAATAATTGGCTTGAAATTCAAAATAGTTTGTGGAGTCGAATTCAGAAAAGAAGGAACTTTGGTATTCAACCATAACAACTTCATAACATAATAATGTGCATACTAATTTATCTACTTTCAATTTTGATAAATGTGTGACCATGAACACTGTTAGATGGAGCATCCCCGATCCAAAACTGTGAAATACAAAATGTTCCACACTCTGAAACTTTTTTAGCATAGACATGATGCCACAAGTAGAAATTTCCACACCCAGCATCATGTGATGGGTCACAATCAGGAGGCAGGTGCACTAAAGATACTGTAATAAAATTACACCTTCAGGCCATGTGTGTAAGGTATCTGTGAGACATAATGGATTTCATGTTTAGACTCGGGTTCTAGCCCAGAGGTGTCTCATAATGAATATGCAAATATTCCAAAATCTAAAGCACTTCTGTTCCTAAGCATTTCAGAAAAGGGATATTAAACTGGTATTTAGAAATTTCCCTTTGCAAAACTTAGAGCTTTACTGAGTTCACTAAGTTTTTTTTTTTTATCTTTGCTCATATCTTTTTTTCAATGAAAGAGGGTATGGACTTCATTCCTGACCAAGGTCCTTCACTGAGCCTGAAACCTCTACTGTATATCATCCATCACATGGCCCACACCCAAGCCTAATCATGTGTATTGTGACCCAGGGGAATCCTTCGGAGAAGAACCACTGTCTGACCAGTTGTCACTTCCTCCTTTGCAACCACTTGGGTCTCAGCTACTGTGATCTCTCCTGGGTTGTGGCCACAGCCTCCTGACCCATCTCCCTGCCTCTGCCATTGGCCTTTGCAACAAGTAGAATGTTCCTTGTACATGTGAAATGAGATCATTTTCTCAGAACCGTCTCATGTCTTTCTACTTCATTCAGAGTGAAAGTCAAGACCCAGTGTGGTGGTGCATGCCTGTAATCCAGGCACTTGGGAGGCTGAGACAAGAGAATTGCTGTGAGTTCGAGACCAGCCTGGGCTACCTAGTGAGTTCCAGGTCAGTCTCAACTACATAGTGAGACCCTGTCTCAAAAAAAACAAAACAAAAAAAACAGAATGAAAGTCAGAATTTTTACAATCTCTTTCTGGGCCCTGTATATCTGACCTGCTTATCTTTCCTAACCTGTATCACTCTAGCCTGGGTGGCCTTTTGGACATTTCTTGAATATGCCGTGCCTGACCCCAACGAGCATGCTTCCCTCTGCTTGGATGCTCTTCCTGAGATGCCCAGCTCCTTTCTCACATCCTTCATTGTTGATTCAAATTTTCCTGATTGGTGGATCCCTTGTGGCCAGCCTAAACAGCAGCACTTCTTCCCACCAGCCAGCTGCCTTACCTGCTCTACTGTCTCTGTAACATTTGCCATCACTTCATAGGCTACGCTTTATTTTATGCCCGCTGTCTGTGGCTTCCACTAGAGTGTAAGCTGCAGGAGGTCAAGCCTCTTGCTTTAGCCCCATGTAGGGAGGAGCTGGACACGCAGGACATGCTGAGCAGGCGTCTAGTGCATCAGTGGAAAGGGAAGTGCTGTCGTTACGTGGTGCGCACGCACACGGTTCACCAGGAAGAACAGGAAACTTCTCTGATTTTTATGATTGGGAGGGGAGTTTGAGGGAAGGGGCTGATATTCTCTGGCCCAGGTGCCAGGTTCTCGCAGACACCAAAAAGCAACTTCATGGGCAACACTTGCCTCTGCAGTGTGTGGCACCGCAGCCAACTCTTCATCTGGACAAATGAATCCGTGTGACCCAGGAATTTACCTGTGTCTTAGGGTTGGGGAAGATTTCCCCGAGGAATCACTTGAGTGCTTTTGTAGGTGCATGGGGAATTTCTTTGGCAATTTTCTCAATCTAACTCTTTTATGGTAATTGGCATTTTTATAAAGAGTATTCTGTCTGATCTAGACTCACTTTCTACAAATTATACTTTTTCTACTTCAGTCATGCATTTATATTTATTTGCATAGGATCGAGAAACTGGTCCTTTATATTTAGTTTCTCATTTCTGTCATTTCCCTTTTAGCTTCATGTTTTAAGTAGATGATATTTTCCCCATGTTTTATTTTTAGGAGTTATCTTTATAGGTTTTGTAATTATAAATGGATTCTAATTTTTTAAATTTATGTATCATTCTTACCTCTTTACCTTTTAAAATTCCTTCCAATTTAAGTAAAAGCTTATATCAGATATTTACTTTGTTTTATTTCAATGTAAGTATTTACACCAGGATTTCACTCTGAAATGTACCCCAATGGCTATGAAATGTGGCATTTTCACTATTTCCTCCTCTATCAATTCTACAATTTGGGTATTTCTGACTCAGTGGTTTTAAAGTAGAGAATTAAAAACAAAATTTCCAAGCAGAACTATTAATTTTTAATTCTCATGTTTGCTTTTAATGACTTTCAGAGAAGCATAAAAGGCTGATTTATCCAAATATGCTGAATTTCGATATCCCATCTCACTGCTTTGATTTCTGGGAGTTGGAGACAGAGAGATGGATTAGCATTTAGTATTTGATTTGCTAGTTAATTGACAATAAAGGACAAAGACAATGGAAAACAGAAAACAGAAAACCTAAAGCCAAATAAAGTATCAGTCCAATAAGATATACAGTTTCTAAACAAAAATTGAAAGTTTTCATGAAAATTTTCTGAGCAAGGAAGATACCACTTGCCTTTTAAAATAGTGACTAAAAACTTTTTTAGTGTAGCATTATGTAAACATCATAAATAACTTAGATTCCATTTTCAGATGCACCAAGGGTCATTTCTGGATGTGGCCTCCATGTTGCCAAAGTTAAATAAAGCATGACATATATTTGTCTTGTTCAAAGACGGTATTTTTTTTTTTTAATACAGAAAGTTGAGACATCAGACCATAGTGTGATAAACATGGACTTTGAGGAAAGGTTAAACCTGAGTTCAAATCCCTTAAAAACACTTCACTGAGCTTTATCTGGCAAAGGGTCCCTACCTGTTACTCGAGCCCTGTGTGATTTTTTTATCCCCCTCAAATGCTCACACAAATCAGAGGAGGCAAGTTCATTTGATTTCAGGATCCCTGTACTTCGGAATTGAACCCATTCAAACAGGGTTTCCTCTTAACCATGCAGAGGGCTCCTCCCTGTCCCACACCAGGTCCCTCCATCAGCCCAACCCATGTTGTCAGCGGAGCTCCTACCCAAGGATAAGTCTGGGCTTCAGGCTCCCAAGTGCCAGCAGCTCACAGCTGACCCGGCCTCTGGGTGAGAACTAGGTAGTGCACAGAAACGCATCCTTCTTCCACGCTGGGAGGGAGTACATATTGGTATAATCTTTTCAGAGGTCAGTCATTATTACCTTTGCTATTTCAATTATTTTCATATTTTTTTCTTTTGTCCCATTCTACTGTGTTTTCACTTAAGGTTTTTCTTTGGTAGTGGGGGAGCGGTACTGGAGATAGAACCCAAGGCCTTCACATTGAGATAGAGCCTCAGACATTTTTATTTTTTACACTGAGACAGGGTCTCACTGTGTTGGCCCGTGGGACTCAAATTTGCAATCCTCATGCCTCAGCCTCTCAAATGGCGGGGATTACAGGGATGCACAGCTGTGCCTGCCTAAGAATTTATTTGTAAACTAATTTTCCCACAAGAATAAGTAAAGTTTACCCAAGGATATGTATTTTTATACGTACATATTCAGCATTGTACTGGTACAGCAGTTTGAAAAGCCATTCTCAAGACAAGCGTCTCCACATAAGAGAGTATACAATTGTACTGAAAACTGCGAGTTTTTATAACTACCACCTCCCCCAGTATAAAATAGCATCTCATTTTAATTTGCCCTTTTAACTGTGGAGAAGTGTTTTCCTATAATTCAATGGCTAAGTTCCACATGTAAATTGCATTTAACCATGTGTTGCCCATTAACTCATGCCTCAGTATTTCTATCCCTTTCGGGATTCCAGGCTCCCCTGTGTCGTAGCTGTGAACCCCCGGCCTGCTCCTTGAGGGGATTCCCTTTCTGGACCACACACTCAAGGACGGTCCTGCCCTTCTAAGGCGCCTCAGTCCCCAGCCCTGCGGCGAAATCTGCTTTTCTTCCTAATCTCTTTGGAACAGGGTTTTGTGTACTAGATGCTAAATACTGAAAGGTAGAGATAAAGGACCATTTTTAAAGAGATTGTTTTTAAGATTGTTTAAAAGTTGAGACATAATTAGAATAATCCTACAGCATTAACGCATAGCAACAAACAGAAGTATTCTGGTTACCTATTGAGACCACTTAAAGCACTGAAATAAATGAACATCAAAGTAAGTTTTTAAAGTACTTTATTTCAAAATAACTAAGCATAATGGTCTGTAAAAAAAGCTACATGTTTCTACTTATACACTGTATCTATTCATATACACTTAGGTTTTTAAATTCAGTTTTGAACAGCTTTCAGTTTTTTCCAAAACAAGGTGCTAAAATATATATATATAGCAGGTGCAGTGGTACATGCCTGTAATCCCAGCCACTGAGGACACTGAGGCAGGAAGATCAGCAGTTCAAGGCCAGCCTGGGAAATACAGCAAGGCCCTGTCTCAAAATAGACATTTCACAACAAAACAAAAATAAAAGCATACATCCACATCCACTTATAGAAACAATTACACTGAAGCACAGAAAGGCAAAAACCCCCATTACATCTCTTGGAGCGAAGAGAGCAAGGTGCCCTGTTACACAGGAAGCAGCGCCAACCGGAGAGCATTCGTGATGACTGCTGACCCCCCAGATGGAAAGGTGCGTACGCCACAGCAGGTTTAGGTTTGTTTTCAAAGAGTCTCTGTAGGCTCTTTCCACATCTGTCCAGACCACATCGCTCCATTTGGTTAATGTCACCTAGACACCATTTCTGAGCTCATGATCTCGTCACAAAACCAAAGCACGAAAATCAGACTCTGCGAAGATGCTGCGTCTGAGTCTTTCTCAGGAAAATTCTTTGGAATCTGTTGTAGATCTATAACCAAGCAAAGTCTCTTTGCTACCACCGTCCCCCACCAACACATCCACGAGCATGTGCGGCTTATCGTAACCAGAGGAGGTGGGGGCGCTCCTCCGCACGGCGGGCTCTGGTCCTTCGGTCGTTATTTCCACTTTATTGCTTGGGGGGATTTCCGAGTCAGATATGAAGCTGCCTGAACCCACAAGGCCGCTATCGGAACCATCTCGGGAGTGATAGGAGCTTACAACTACACTGCAGGGTTCCGACTGGTTACTATTTGAATGCACAGAATTCTCTGTCAGCGCCAGATCGGAACTGCTTTCACTCGGGGTCAGCGCCTCGATCTTGGTGGAAAGCTCTCCGCTGTACCCCTCTTTTCCCTCGCCGCCTTTACTGCGTGGGCCCAGCACTGTCTCTGAAGACACAGCCTCTCCACAGACACCAGTCTCGTTTTCCACGGTAATCGGCTGATAGGAGGAGATGAATGACACATACTTCGATTCGGGTTTTGACTCCGAAGTGGCACTTTTTACCACTGAAAGCTAAAGAGAAAATGAATGAAGATGGTGAATTATTAAGCTCAAACGCCTCTTTTCAAACCAACAAAGGCCTAAAGGTAACAACACTAACTGACACATTTGAGGTAAGATAAGTGAATCACGGCTTTTTCTTTTCTTTCATAATGGTAATACCGCTGTAAGATTAAAAACAAACGCGGGGAGTCACCTAATAACTCACAGTACACTCTGTCCCCCCATATGCATGTTACATTTGTAATGGGAGCACAGCGGTTTAGCTTATTGAGTAGTTTCCTTATTTTTCTCCATCATTATACTCTTCAGTGGCTCCTATTACTTATTGATACGGATTTTTTTTTGGGGGGGGTACCAGAGATTGAGCTCAGATCCTTGCGCTTGCAAGGTAGTCAGTGGAACCACTGAGCTAAAGCCCCGGATCATTTTTTCAATAGATGCTGATGTTTCCGATTTTTCCTGGCTACAGAATGTGCTCAATATTTCACACATCTTTTTACTTAGGAATAATTTCCTTCGCGTTAAAGAGCAGAACGACTGTATCAGAGGCTACAGCACAGTCACGGCAGACCTTGCTGCACTTCTCTTACACACTTAGCTTTCCACCGAGGCCCCACTGCTTTCCACCGGCGCACACCAGCCACACCGCGACTGGCCCGACTGCACAGTCAGGCTTATTGTTCCTTCTCTAGTGAGGGCAGAATGGCCTACTGCGAGGTGGCTTTGTGCTTAATGACTGGCAAGGCTATTATAATTCAGATATGAATGGTCTACTAAGGGTTGATAGTTCTTATCTCTTTAAAGGTAGTAGTTTTACAGCAACTTCACTGTACCCTTTGAATACCACAGATATTACTCGTCATATTTGATTCAAATAGTTGTCATTATATTACCTTTACCAGTTCTTTTCATCATTTCAAAGGCTTTGGAATATTAGCTATCAAATGTCAAGTTTGCGTCTCACTTCCGGCCATCTTTCCTTCTATACTCCAATCATAATAAAGTATTTCTATTTTTGCAGATCTTCAAAAATCAGGCTTTCTAGGCTCTTGGCCTCCTATCCCATAGTACCTGGATAAACTACTGTCCCTCAGGACTGCCCAGACATCACTGGCTCTGGGACAGTCACAGCTGAGCCCAGCCCATGAGCTGGACAGAGCCCTCACTGGCTGCGTAAGAGCCTCTATAACCAATCACACTGACTACCTACCCACCACATACTCATCTTCTCTTCCCGTGTACTCTAAGCTCCTCAGCAGACTTGGGTTTCTGAGTATAAAAAACACTTGGTGCACCATAAAAATGGGTGGTTCTGAATGTGTGAGAGACTGAGCGATCAGTGCTTCTATGTAACATGATGCTTAGCACATCTCGTCATTCTACGGAACGATGCTGAACATTATCCCACTACAAACAAAACAAGGAAACCGTTGAAAAGGTTAACATTTGAGCATTAATAACTAAAGAGAAACATTTAAATACATTACCAAAGATTTGGGTAACATTATGTTTTTCTTCTTACATGGGTTCTTCTTAAAATAACAGTATGCAAATACTAGGATAACTAGTATGAATAGTGAGCCAACAATCATTGGAATATAAGTATAATCTAAAACAAAGAGAAAAATCATAAATTAGGATTAAAATGTAGTACTGCTATCATGTAGCCAAAAGTCTTAACACTATTATTTAATAGATTGACACATTAGTTAATAAATATGATCAGAGTTGTAAAGAACAGGCAATCTGAATAGAAAACAGGTATCTAACCTAGAGTGCAATACGATTCTTCCCAATTCTGTGTTTCTAAAACTCCCTGTGACTACACTGCCATAAGATCAGGGGGCCAAACAGCTCTTTTAGTTTGATCTGAAAGCCTCAAACACAATGTGTTTACAGGGTTAGGCTTTTCTCTCAGTCAAGAAAGTGAAAGAAGAATTACAAAATATTTCTCTTAAGAAATAAACTTTGGCAATGTGTGTAACTCAATATAATTTAGCTCTATTTCTCAGAATCTTCTGTTATACTTATTTCAAGAGTGCAAATACTTATAAAGTACATAGAAGCCCACACACAGGAATAAAGTCCTCAGGATAGCAAGCCAGAGATGAAGAACATAAAAACTAGGGAAGACCACATACATCTATTATTACCATTGTGCATTTGACTCTGCTGTGCCTTTTATTTTCATAACACAATCTTTAGCAGTTATTTTCATAATGCTCTCTTCTAAAAAAAAAAAACACTAACAGTATTGTACATGTTGCGGCAATGTGTGGTCCTATTGTGAGATTTTCTTTCTTTCTTTCTTTCTTTTTTTTGTACTGGGGATTGAACTTGGGACCTTGTGCTTGCGAGGCAGGAGGCAGAAACACCGAGCTAATTCTGCAGCCCCTCCATTTTATTTTCTCTAGTTTCTATTCTAAAGTTAATCCTTTGGAAAAGTAACTGTGGAAGTCAGTACTTTATGCTTACAACATGTTATGGGATGTGAAAAAATCAAACTGTTACCTAGTAAAAGACAAAATAAAATAATGCTAGTCCCTTGGACGAGTAAGGTGCAGTGTGTAAGGCTGCCACTCATAAGCATGGTGCTGCCACCATGTGGCTGTTATGTCATTTTACAATTCAGGCTTTTTTGCTGTGCGTTTTTTTTGTTTTTGTTTTTGTTTTTGTTTTTGGCAGTAGCAAGTGGGGCTGAACCCAGGGCCTTCACAGTGAACTACGCTTGTGGTCCTTTTTTCATTTTTTATTTTGATAGTCTCATTAAGTTGAATTTCTAATTCTTCTACCTCAGATTTCCACAGTGGGATCACAGGTGTGCACAACCTGGGCTACAGTTTTGGCTTTATTATTTATTTATTTATTTATTTATTGTTAAAAGTAGGAAAATTTACTGGAGTGTAGGAATGGGGAATAATAATAGGGAGTGGAAATAGCTCCTGAGAGATAAGAGGAATCCTGAATGCATTGCCCCAATATAGGCTTTTTAAGAAAATAGATCCAGAGCACGTGCATTGCAGTATTTCAAGTGTTGTTCATTAAGTTGCACTTTATTTTTCAAACAGCATAGTGTAAATTGGCATAAAACCCACTACATTATTCTAAGTTTCCTACTTGAAACTTACATGATATAGTCTGAAAGTTATTGGCATTAAATTTTAGGTCTAACACTTCAGCTTGATTTCCATTTTTCAAAAAAGTATGTAGGGCCAGGAATTTAGCTCAGTGGCACTGTTCCTGCCTCACAAGAGCAAGGTCCTGAGTTGAATCTCTAGTACTGAGGAAAAAAGAAAGAAAGAAAGAAAGAAAGAAAGAAAGAAAGAAAGAAGTATCTGTAAATAAAACTGGAGGTGAAAAAGGAGATATTCCTTTTTGAACAAAAATACAAAAGGTCAATGGAGATTATTAAGAAAAACTCTATCCTAGCAAACTGGAAAAGCTAGAAGAAATAAATTACACATCAGAGCTACCAAAATTGGACCACAAAGACATAAAAAAAAACAGAATAAATAAAAAATTAGAATAGAAGAAAATACCTGCCAACTATTCATCTGAGGGATTATTTGCCATGATATATAAGAAACTCAAAACAAAACAAAAAAAGCAATATAGTTAAAATATGGGCAAATAATCTGAACAGATACTTCCCAAAAGAAGATATCTAAATAGCCAAGAAGTATTTACAAAAACACTCAATATCATTAGCCATTAGGGAGACAAATCAAAAGAGCAATGAGAGGTGGGTTGGGATGGTGTTATGACTGTAATCCCAGCACTTAGGAGGCTGAGGCAGGAGGATCTATCTAGAGTCCAAGGCCAGCCTGAACCACATAATGAGACCTTGTCTCAAAACAAAAACAAAAATCCATAATGAAACACTATCTCACCCGTTAGAATGGTTGTTATCAAAACAACAACACAAAACAAATGTTGGCAAGTATGTGAAGAAAACGAAAGTCTAGTACACAAAATTATATACACTATGCGATACAATGGATACATAAAAAAACTAAAGAGAAAAAAACAAGCCTTGTGTAAATAGGGAAGGGTGGGGGGCTGAAAGGGAGGGAAAGGAAATGGGAAAAAACAAGAAAGAACATATATCATAGCTGTACAAATTCCCAATGATGAATGTGATCATAATGTATACCTAAAATGTACCAATAAAACTTATGGGAAAAATTTGAAAACAGTAACATTAATTTTGGTACATAATGAATTTTAATTATCATACCCTCAGAAATCAGCTTTTTCTCTTATTTTTCAAACATTCTCTAGTAAATAAGGTAAACATCGATAGAATTAGTAACAAGATCTTCCATTATCAATTTTCAGCTGAAGCTAAAGCAAATCTCACACACTGATGCTATTATCAGTTACTGGTTCATCTAAATGATATTGCTTTAAATTGTGCTATCGGTACATTATGCACTGCCCTTTTCTGGCACGTTTTGACATAAAAGAGGGCCATTTTACTACAAATACTCTTATGATGAGTAACATGCCTAATGGCAATGGATGAAAACTTTTCCTCATAGGGATTTTCTTTCATATGAAAAAAAGCTAAAGAACAAAATTGGATGAAAAGAAAACAACTGTGAATAATGGTCTATTGTGGGGAAATGATGGGATTACAGATAATATTGTTATCTTCTGTTTTTTTTTATATTTTATACATTATATATGACAAACTTTTGAATGCAGATATTTATACCCATAATTTTACATATTTGTTATATTTTTTTCTGTGTTATCAAATGGCTTTCCAAATTGGTTACTTTGTACATTTTATTAGCTGAGAAACTGCCTCTGTGAGGAACGGAGCTACTGAATGTTTGTTTTGTTTTGTTTTGTTTTGTTTTTGGTACTGGGGATCGAACTTAGGCTCTCACCGCTTGCAAGGCAGGCACCGGCACCACTGAGCTAAATCCCCACCATAAATGTTTTTAAGAGGGATTTTTTGCAAGTAAATTTGACATTTTATACATTATCCTCTTTTAGTTATACTTTTCTGTATTTAGAAAAAAATGGCAAGAACTTACCTTTTATGCTCCTACTGTGAATGGTAATACAAACTTCTTTTGACCTTTCAGTTATAATATTCGAATCCTCTAAGAATCCTTCTGCTGAAACACAGTACTCAGAATTCAGTGAGGGCACTGGAATTTTTAATTGGCATGGAGTGTAGAGGTAGTCATCTCTTCCAAGTTCATACATTATGGTCTATATGGGGAAAATGCATTGCTTCTTTAACATGTAAAAATTATCCTCCATACCTACCTTTGTCAGTACCAAAGAAAACACACACACACACAAATATATATAATATATGATAAATCTTAAAGATATCTGAAACACTTTCGATATCAAATAGTAAGTCAATTTGTTTTTTTGTTTATTTTTTAAGAGTAGGAAAATTTTATTGATGGAAAGAAAGCTTCTATCTGAGAGAGACAGAGGGGGACTGGGAAATGGGTTGTCCATACGTCCTTTTGTTACAGCATACCATGATGATGTGCATCTATCAAAAACCTGAATGGCAGGAATGTTCATTGCTATTTGTTAAACAAGTATTAATTTCTCCTAATCCTAAAACACTAGAAACTTAGCTGGTAAAATTTTATGGGAAGCATAATAAAGAGTATTATACAAAGGCTGCAGGATCTCTGGGCGGTAGGACCTAGAAATGATTGGTGTAAAGTTTATCATTCATTCCATAGCCAGTGTGTGGTCATCTTTGCTGGGACCCGAAGACACAAAAGTAGTACTGTGGTTTGATTACAGTTCCTCCGAAGGTCCCTGTCTAAAATAGTCTTGGTCCCCAGGGTGGTGGTACAGTGAGGTGCTGTGGACCTTTAAGAGGTGGAACCTTATGGGAGGCCTTTAGGTCATAAGGGGTGTGTCCTTGGGAGGGACTATGAGACCCCAGCCACACCCCACACACAATGTCTGGTTTGAGATGTAATCACTTGGGCTACAGGTATAACTCATAGGTTGAGTGCTTGTCTAGCATGTGTGAGGCCCAGGGTTCCACTCCTAGCATCGAAGGGCACCGTGGGGAGATTAAATCTTTTCTTCTTATACGTTGGTTGTCTTGGGGATTTCACTATAGTTATGATGCTAACAAACACAGGTAGGATGGTGGTATCTGGCTCAAATACCTTACAATTTTGAGTTGAAGAGAGAAGAGAAAGAAACATAACAAGAAATAAGGAATCCTGCCAGAGGAATCCTGTATGGAACCAGGACCACAGAAAAGGAAACAGTCTACTTGGTCAGAAAAATGAAAGCAGATATGACACTCAAGCTACTACTGAAGAATAAACAGAAATTTGCCAAAGTGAAAAGGGTAAGAAGAGCATTCTGGGAAAGAACATGGCAGTTTCAGGGATCCAAAACTGGCAGCTCCTCAAAGCATGGGTGAAAACAAGGTTGGAGGGAATGGGAAGATGGACTGGAGAGGATCCGCAAGGCTAAATCACAAGGGCTTGTAGACCATGTCATGGAAGGAAATTCAGACATTACTTTCTAGCCAATGGGCATTTGTGAAGTTCTAAGCAGTGGAGTAACATGATTAGATCTGCATTTTAGAAAGATGTCTCTGCCAACAACTGAGAAGATATTTTAAAATTAAATCACTCCTCACTTTTTGCTCAAATCTTCCTAAGGTACAATAAATGGATCAAAGTCAAATCCCCCCAATGTCCTCTGCCTTCACCTGCTTCCTGCACCCACTGACCCCACCGGGGCTGCTCCCCTCATGTGCGCACTGTACCCCTGCTGCGTCCTCTGCCTGAAGAGCCCTCTCAGGATCACCCATGGGGCTTACCTCCGATCTGACCTCGACAGCAGTTACCTCCTTCCCGGGGAGGCCTGCTCTAAAAATCAGTGACCCAGACCTACACACTGCCCACTCTTCCTGCTGCACCGCAGTTATCCTAAGTCTGGTTTGTTCTGCTCTTAGCTGCATTCCTGGATGCCTCTTAGGCAATATTATATGTTTGATAAATATTTATCAAGTAAACAAGAGGCATCATTGTGGAGAAAGGAGAATAGTTCCCATCAATGCATGGACCCCACACCAGTGCCAGAATAATGTAATTATATCCCCACAGTTATACTGTTTTATTTTTCAAAACTGATGATTCAAATTATAGATGCATATTATTTTACATTATCATTAGTGAGAGAAAAATTATTAAGTTATCCCCACCTTATGGGGATATGTATGTCACTGGACATACAGGGCCATGATGCTAAATGAGGCCAAGAAAAACTTAAAAGTACTCATCTGGTTAGTATCAGTGAATCACTCCATACCAGTTCCTTTCAATATCATTCACATGTAATTTCTTCCCAAAGTTATGATCCAGGGGTTCTGCCTGACCATCATAAGCATTTCACTTTTATTACACAGCATAAAGAAACAACTTACACTAGCTACAGAAAAACAGATGTGATATGTGTGTGTGTGGATGTGTGTGTGTGTGTGTGTGTGTGTATAAATTCCCCAAGATGAATGTAATTATTATGTATTACAAACACATACTAATAAAAAAGAAACTAAAAATCAACTCTGTATACTCTAAATACACACAAAAAATAGCACCTACCTCACTTGTGTTCTCTCTCACGTACACTTTGTAGATTAATGTGTAACATGCATCATACATGGCTTCCTGCCCTTCTCCATTTAAATGAACTACTGGGTCAATTACATCAATGATGATATGGTCCTCCTCTTGTGTAACAGTTAGTTTAGGTGGTCCAATCTTTCCTGGAGAGAAAGCAATGTAATTAATACTGGCCTCAGAACCTTACAGTAGAATTATCAAAATCAATCAACCAACCACTCTTTTGTTTTTTTACTAAAGTAGGATCACATTTTAACTAAAATAGGACACCATGACTAAGTAGGGCCACTTTTAAACTACTCTAAAAATCTAGGAGACATTCCAAATATCCTTCATAAATATTTCATAAATCTCAGGAAGAGGTTCTCTTATCTAAACTCCTCTTTAGCAGTTTAACTTCATTTCTAATTCAAGAGAAATACAATTGGCTATGGACTTGATTAAAAAAATCAAACAAAACCTTCATCTAATGAAAGCTTTATCAAGCACTTTTTTCTTCTCATTGAGTTTATTGGTTCATTTTAGGTATACAGTACAGTTACATCCATCATTGGGATGGATCTTGTACCTTTACATGACAGGTCTTGGTTCTCATTTTTTCCCCTTGTCCCTGCCCTCCCTTCACCCTCTCCTCCTCTCCCCCTTTACAAATATTTTATTTCCATTTTTTCATTTTCTCCTATTTATTTCTTTCCCTTATTACGTGTCTCCTACCCTTCCCACTTTCCCTCCATCTTTAGCCCTTTTCTTCCTATTTCACATTGTCAGTTATCTCATTAGGATCTTATGTACTCTTATAGTTTGTTCACACCAGAGAAACTATTTGGAATTTACACATGTGTGACTTATTTATTTCACTTAGGAGTATATCCTCAATATGTATCCATTTTCCTATGAATGAATCTAATTTCTCATTCTTCATGGGATCTCATCTTATTAAAAAGCATCTGCACTGCAAAAGAAACCATCAACAGAACTAAAGACAACCTACAATGTGGGAAAAAATTTTTACCAGCTGCTCCTCAGACAAGGACTATTATCTAGAATATATAAAGAACTCAAAACAATCAGCCCCCTCAAATACAAAGACCCAATTCAAAAATGGGCATCTGAAATGAACAGACATTTCTCAGATAAAGAAGTAAAAGCAGCAAGTAAATATATGAAAAAATGTTCCACATCACTGGTCATTCAGGAGATGCAAATGAAAACAACACTGAGATTCCACCTCACCCCACAAAGAATGGCTGCTATCAAGAAATCACACAATAACAAATGTTGGTGAGGCTGTGGGGAGAAAAGAACCCTTCTCCATTGTTGGTGGGAGGGCAGACTGGTGCAACCACTGTGGAAATCATTATGGAGAGACCTCAAAGAGTTGGGACTAGAGGTTCCATTTGACCCAGCCATCCCTATGCTGGGTATCTTTCCAAAAGAATTAAAACAATCATATCACATAGATATATGCACACCTATGTTTATAGTGGCACAGTTTATAATAGCTAAAACTTGGAAACAGCCCATTTGCCCATCAGTTGGAAAGTGGAAAAGGAAGATGTGTTTTTTTTATCAAGTACTCTTTATCTTTGCTTCTTTAGATTAAGAAAAAAGCAAGTTTCTTTTTTCTTTCTTTCTTTTTTTTTGTACCGGGGATCGAACTCAGGTCCTTGTGCTTGCAAGGCAGGCAGCGGAACCACTGAGCTAAATTCCTGGCTCCGAAAAAATAAGTTTCTAAAAACTCTTTCTGAAAGGCATTTAGTTATCTTTTCTCAGAAAAACTCTGTATCTTCAACATTCATGGGTTCCTGGCATGCAGGCTCTATAAAAACTTGCTAATTCCATTTTTAAGTGTGAAAATCAGAACTAGATGTTGAATCATTCAGCAAACACGCACTGTGGAAGTCTGGGCCCTCACTGGGAAACCACTGAGCTATGCTTCGTGTTCACAGCACACCTACCGTGTGCCGGGAAGATCTGTTCAGTGTACCTCAGGGCCTGGCATGCTCCCTAGCACACTTCTGGCCCTTGACAATACAGATAGTATGTATCAGATGTATGGATTCTGGGAAATAAAATATTTAAGGGCGTGGTCATTAGGATGGAATGTCAGCTTGATTGGCTTTGGGCTCTACCCGGGGGACTGGTGGAGCACACGTCTGCTGGTCTGGGTAGGTCATGGAGGTGTGGTCTTGGGGGCGAGGGGCCCTATGTCTGGTCCCTTACCCCTTCCTCTTTGGCACCTCTGCTTCCCAGCCACCATGAGCTCAACAGCTCTGCTCCACCATGCCCTTCCACCGTGTTTCTAACTTGGAGCCAGCTGACCATGGGCTGAGCCTCCTTTAAAACACGAGCCAAATTAAACCTCTCCTCCTTTGAGCTGTGTATGGTATTGGGTATTGTGTCAACAAGGGGAAAGTTAGCTGATTCAAAGGACAAGTAGGGAAAGGGCTTGTGGAAGAGGCCAAAACGGCACAATCTGAAAAGGAGGAGACCGAAAGCAGTGGGGAGCACTGGAAAGGCGGCAGCTCAAGTAATCTAGCGCTGAAGCTGAACAAAAAAGGAAGTGAAGTTAGAAGAAAAGGTACCAGAGGACCATCAGACTATGGCAGAGTCAGATGATTAAAGGTAGTGAAGTATGATTGCCAAGAGTGGACAACATAACCAGAAAATAGGAATTGGCACAGACATTCTGGAGTTTCGGGTATGCACTGGAGTGGGACGCAGGAAGAATAAAGAGCTGAAATCACAGGGGATGGAAAGATGAAAGAGTTCTAAAATCTTTTAATGTATTAAGTTGGTATTCAAATTCCCACAGACACTGAGGATTTAAGGTAGACAGAAGAATGACAGCGAGTAGCCAAAGTCCTCAGTGAATGTACCTCGAAATGAATTACAGACCACGTGGGAAGGGAACGGGTGATGCAAAGTGGATTTGTATGGTGTGGAAACTTACTGGTGTAGAAGCAGCAAAGAGATGGTTGTCGCTTTGTGAGGAGTGAGAAAAGCCAATGATACTGGCTCACTCTAAATTCCTCCAAATGTTTAAGCATTATGATCATTTTTAACAATTGCCAATAAAAGCAAACAGCACAAGAAACATGCATTTTCAAATTTAATATTTACATATTCATTCTACACACCTTCTTTGCAAATGACAAAGTCTTTGGACTCTACATAGGCAGATTCTCTTTGTCCAATTCTAGCTTTAACTTTGGCCCATATAGGAAGATCTGGGTCATCAACATTAAGAATATTACAATGATGATCAGATGTATTGTTGCAGGCATTTATCCACATTTTCCTAAAATGAAAAGGAAGAAATACAAAGGTATCTTTTATTGTTATCATAAACTTGAATCATCTCTGTGCTATACTGCATACTTACAGCACAAAGCTGGTAGGAAGAGCTCAATGAGAATAGGATGGAGAAACTAGACAAAGCTGGAAATCCTTATTTTGGCCAGAAGCACAGGTCCAGCATCATTAATCCAAAAAAATGAGAAACACAAGATGGTCCAAAGTCCAAAAATTTTGAACACTGACTTGATGCCAGACCAGAAAAATTCCATACCAAAAAACTTTGTTTCATGCATAAAATTATAGTGTATAAAGTTACCTTCTCTATGCGTATAAGACATGGATGAAATATAAATGAATTTCACATATAGACTTGGGTTCCATCCCCAAGATAACTAATTATGCATATGCCAATATTTCAAAATCTGACAAAAATCAGAAATACAAAATACTTCTGGTCCCCAGCACTTCAGATAAGGGCTGTTCAAAATATGCCATACATTCCTTTATCATCAAGAGGCTTAATTAAAACTGTAAGACCTGTACAGACCACATTCTATATTTAGGCTTTAAAAATCTTTTAAAAAACACTAGATTCCTTTAACGTAGATGTGATTTAATTATAGAATTAAGAGCATAACAGACTCCTAACAGTTGTCAATTTTTTTGAATTTTATATTCTTCTAGTAAAAAATACACTATAAAGTTATCTTTATTAGATTCATTTGTCATGCCTTAAAATCTTCAAAGTCATTCAGCCATAGAAGAGCTTTTAATTTTATTAATTAACCATAACATACAAATGGAGTTCCTTTCTTATTTTAATATATTCTGTTTCTTTTCTTCTCTCTTTTTTTTTTTCTTTTGTGGTAATGGGGATTGAACTCAGGACCTTGTGCTTGTGAGGCAGGTGCTGTGCCACTGAGCTAAATCCCCGGCCCAATGTATTATGTTCTTATTTGTGGCCACACCTTTGGCCAGGGAAAACCTATTCAAGGTGGGTCCTAGATCCTTTTGACATCTCCCCATTACTTTGAACTAAATGGACAGGAGTTCAATCCTATCCATGTCCTACTTTCTTCAGGTCATCAATTTCACTGATTTCAGACTTGCTTCTTATTTCTTTTTTCAAAATTATGGCAATACCTATGAAAATATTTCTTCTCATCCTTTTTTTAATACCTAAACAATAATACTATTTATACTTTATTGAACTTTGTTGCTTTTTTTCATTTAATAATACATTTTAAGAGATCAATGCACATATGTTCATGAGAATTTTTTCCTTTGCGAGTGGGTAATGTCTTTATTTTTTAGAGTTGCTGGGGATCAAATCTAAGGCAAGTACTCTGAGTAAGCTGAATCCCCAGCTCACTGGGTAATAAGTTTTCCTTGTTTGTATGCTTTTTCTTAAGGTGGATTGAACCCAGGACCCTCACACTGATCTACATCTCCAGCCCCTTTATGATTGTATTATTTTGAGAAAAGGTCTTGCTAAGTCCCTAAATTGCCTGGGGTGGATTCAAACTTTGGATCCCCTTGTATCAGGCTCCCAGAGTGCTGGGATTACAGGTGTGCACCTTCACACCTACCTGGGTAATGTCTATAAATTGCATTTTAGTAAGTGTATCTTAAGGACAAGTTCCTGATGTGTGATCATCAGATAGAGTTAAACCTAAGAAGGCTGGGTATTTAGCTCAGTGCTACAGCCTTGCCTAGCATGTATGAAGACTTGGGTTTGGTCCCTACTACTGCAGAGAAAAAAAAAAAGAAGTGAAATTTTGTGAAACACTAACAAATTCTTCCAACAGGGCCAGATCTAATTTGCATTCATGCCAGTGACATGTATGAGAGTGCCTGT